TGTGTGTGTGTGTGTGTGTGTGTGTGTGTGTGTGTGTGTGTGTGTGTCTGTCTGTCTGTCTGTCTGTCTGTCTGTCAAATGTGTGGAGGTCAGAAAACAAAGTATTTGTGAGAGTCAGTGCTTGCCTTCCACCATGTGGGTCCTAGGGACTGAACTCTGATTGTCAGGCTTAGAGGCAAGCGCCTTTACTCACCGGGCCATCTCAGTGGCACCCACAGTGGACTCTAAATGGATGATAACTACTCTGTGATAGCTAGAAAGATTAAGAAATCCATGCGATAATGCAAAATGTCAAAGCAAAGAGAGGGGAGAATTCACATACACACACACACCTATATGCAGCACAGTGTTTTGTCAAAGGGTAAATGTGAGCTTTAGACCCTATTACCCAGTTACCTCCAGCCACCTCAGGAAAGATAATTCCAGAAAAAAATAAAAGCCATGGAATCTTTCTTTTTTGCCAAAGTCTTTGTATGCAGGCTGGCTTTGAACACACCACTGCTTCGGCCTCCTAAGTTTTATTGGAGGAAATCCTGAAAATGGGGCAGTGTAGGGAAGTTCTGAGTGGGTGAAGTCCTAAGTGAATAGATACTTTGACATAGGCACAGCATGTTATGGACTCAGAGACCTATTGGCCTATGGTAAATTGACAAACTCTTGCCCATATAGCCAGGCTCGAGAGGGACAGCAAAGCTTTTTGGGGAGGTCTGAGTATGTGGGTTTATGAACATTGACCAGTGATACAAAGATTAGCAACCCTGTTTTCCTCCTGGCCACATCTAGAGCCTGAGACTGCTCCCCTATAAAGATTTGCTAACCCTCCCCGTGTGCTGTATCTAATAAACAGGCTGAGATTCTGGGTAGCCTTAGCAGTTAGAGAACCCAACCTGATCCTGATCCCAGCTTTATGTTGGGAGTGTTTATGTATCTCCATTCCCTCTAAAATCCTAGTCAGGGTTCCAGGACCCATGCCTCAAAGGTTGAGGCAGAGCAGGTAGTCTTGTGTCTAAGAATCAAAGGAGACAACCTGGTTGGTAGGTTTTGGAGAAGGCAATCAAAGTTTTTCAAGAATCTGTAACACCATTAGACCACCCTGTTGTCTTTAGGAGACATGAGAACACACACACACACACACACACACACACACACACTCCAAACATTGATATCCCCAATACTGAAAATAGAAAAGTAGATAGATATCACAAAGTATGGACACCGAGCTCAGCGTAGCCTACTTTTATTTTAGGCTTTATTCCTGACTTTGCTTTGCAGCCAGCAGTCCAGTGTATTCACTAAAAGCAAACTCCCTGCACACAGATGGGCTCACCAAGTAGCCCTGGACCACAGCTTTACACAAGGTACCTCCTGGACACTCCAGATATTGATAATTATCTGGGTCTTTGTGGGGGAGGTTGTTTTACTTTTTCCATTTTCCAGTGTGTGTAGTGTTGGCATGTGTATGAACTCAGGAGCGTGTGTAATTACATGGGTGGACATGGATGTGAAAGGCTAAGTGATGTCAGGGGTCATCATCAGTGGTTCTTCCACATTCTTCATCAAGTCAGTCTCCCAGTCAAACCCAGAACTCACAGACATGGCTAATATTCCTAGGCAGTACGCTCTGGTGCTGCCCTGCCTCTCCCTTCTGAGTCTGCAATTACATGAAGTTACAGGTGAGCTGCTATGCTCAGCAAGCATCCTCATGGGTTCTGGGACTCTAAATTCCTGTCTGCCTGCTTGGGTGTGGAATGATTTAACCACTGAGCAATCTCTACAGCTGGCTGAGCTCAGGGCTGCTGCCACATCTTTAATATTCCATCATATCTAGATTAAAAAGAGGGACACTTTCAATAAAGTCTATCTTCTGCCAAACACACCAAATCAGCCAAATCTGAGTTACTCAAAGTTTGGTTTTGGTTTTTGGGTTGGTTTGTTTGTTTGTTTGTTTTCAGAGAAATACCACTAGTGGAGAGGCAGAGAAAGAGGAAGGGAGGAGGAGAGGATGACAGAACAGGAGAGAGAGAGAGTGAGAAAAGAAGGGAGAGAAGGGCTCACGTGATGTGCACAGGAGGCAGGGAGGGCAGTGGCTAGCCTGAAATCTGCAGCTAGGCAGGCTGGACAGTGTCTCCCAACTTGCTGCTGAAATCTGAAGACACTGCAGCTGAACTCCTTCTTCAATCATCTCGGTATTGTTGTCGTCAAGCCCTTTGAGTGATTGTGCCCCAAGTCGTGCTGTTTGGAGAAAGCAGTTCTCAGAAAGCAAGCATGAGCTACATAAACACGTGAACAGGAGATCCCAGCAGAAAGCAGACCTTGAGTTGAAAACATGCCAGGCACTTTGCTAAGATAAGGGGGCAATGGCGCAGGGCTTTATTTCATTCTGATGATGTTTCCCCAACTGGTGCTGAGGCTAAAACCCAAGGCTTTGTCTATACTGGGCAAGCAAGGACTGCATCACTGAGCAACAGCACTTATAGGTGATTGTTTGCTTGCTTGTAGGATCTTGCTGCCTGGAACTCAGCCTCCCTAGTGTTGATCTTAAGGACTAGAGTGTTATTCTGAATGAAATGGGGAAGAGTTTGAATAAAGAAATAGCGTGATTATTTGGCTTATATTTTAACTAAATTATTGGCCTCTAAATTATTGGAAAAGGGACTTCAGGAGCTTTCAAAATGGCTCCATGAGTAAAGGCACTTGCCACCAAGACTGATGACCTGAATTCAATCCCTAGGACCGGGGTGTTTTTCTCTGGCCTCCACACATGCACTGTGGCTAACACATTGTCACACAGATGCACACATGTGCGTGCACACAAATAAAAGTAAAGGAAATTTTAAGAGAAGAACTACAGGTAGTCAAGAAGAGAAACAAAAAGAATTTTGAGGGGTGAGGTATATTTCAGAGATCCAGGTGAGAGGCGAGAGTGGCTTGAACAAGCACAGCAACAGTCACAGGAAGAGAGGAATGTCCCGGAAACAAGTCAGTCTGTTGATGGCTTGAAGATAAGACGGAGCCAAGATTTGCTGGCGGATGTATGGATGGTCTGTGAGAGATATGTGAGAGTCTTCTGTGGTTTAGGGCAGTTGTGATAGAGGAATGAGGTCAAAATCATCATCATCATTATCATTATTATTATTATTATTGGATATTTTATTTACATTCCAGATGCTATTCCCTTACCCCATTTCCCCCCTGCCACCCAGGAACCCCCTATCCCATCCCCCTCCTCCTACTTCTATGAAGATGTGCCCCCACCTACCCCCTCCCCACTCCTACCTCCCCACCCTCAAAATTCCCACCCCCTGGGGCATCCAGCCTTCATGCGGTCAAGGTTCTCTTCTTCCACCTATGCCCAGCAGAGCCCTCCACTCTTACATATAAAGCTGAAGCCCTGGATCCCTCCCTAAGTGCTCCCAGGCTGGTGGTTTAGACCCTGGGAGCTGTGGTTGGTTGGTATTGTTGCTCTCCTCATGGGGCCACAAACTCTTTCAGCTCCAACAGTCTTCACTCTAACTCCTCCATTGGGAACCCCATTATCAGTTCAATGGCTAGTTGTGAGCATCTGCCTCTGAATATGTCAGACTCTTGCAGACCTCTGAGGAGACATCTATATCAGGCTCTTATCAGCATGCACTTCCGGACTTCCACATCAGCATCTACCTTCGGTGACTGCACATGGGATGGATACTCAGGTGGAATGGTCTCCAGACGGCCCCTCCTTCAGTTTATGTTCAGGGCAAAATCTAATCAGGGTTCATGGAAGAATAAAAGCAGAAAACTCAGAAGTGGTGAACAAAAGAAAGACCCATATTGTTAGACATAGAAGCAATAGGAACACACCCGTGTGCTGACAGGAATGGCCCAGTAAACAGGAGCACAGCAGTGATTCAGGAGAAAGGGGGAGAATGCTGCAACCTGGCTCTTGAGAGGCAATGGAATTCAGCACACAAGTACTACGTGCTCTTCCTGATCAGGAGCATGAACGTCATTCACCTTTGTTAAGTAGGGCAAGGAGAGCTGAAAGAACGCAGGGAAGAGAGGAAAAGTGGAAAGTTGGAGAGGACAGAGAGAGAGCAAGCTGCTGAACTTGGCCTGCGTTTATTAAAGGCTTCCCCCAGTTCCCAGTAAAATCCATGTGACCCCCAAAAGAAGGAGAAGGCAGACCAGACCCCCCAGATGTTTGGAGTAAGAAAGGAAGTATACAACAAGGAACAAAGACGGCAGGATGCAAGTAATTGGCCATGTTCCCCAGCGGTGGGCCTCACTGAGCGCCTCCAGGAAGCAGTAGAAAAAAGGACCTCTCCTCCATGTGGTTCATTTGCTTCCTTCCAATAAAAGGGAATATGGAAGCTCAAGATGCCAGAAGACATATTTGTCTGTACAGTGTCTGTGTTACTGATTTTTGTGTTGCTGTGACCAAAATATCTGACAGAAGAGAAAGGGTTATTTAGGTCCATGGTTTCCAAGAGATTTCAGTCTATTGTGGTGGTGAAGGTGTTTTAATTACTTTTCTGTGGCTGTGATAAAACACCATGACTCTTAAAGCATCGTATGGAAGAAAGAGTTTATTTGGGCTTAGTGTTCCGGACATTAGGAGTCCATCATGGTGGGAAGGTATGGCAAAAGGCAGCAGGCATGGTGACAGGAACTGAATGCTGAGAGCTTACAATTTGCACCTTGAGAATGAACCAGAGGGCTAGAGAGATGGCTCAGAGGTTAAGAGCACTGACTGCTCTTCCAGAAGTCCTGAGTTCAGTTCCTAGCACCCACATGGTGGCTCACAAATAAACAAAAACTAGAAACCACAATATATAGGCAGAGGACCTGGCGTAGACCCATGGAGGCCCTGTGCTTGCTGCTTCACTCTCTGTGAATTCATATGACCTTTGCTCAGTTCATTTACTGGGCCTTGTTTTCTTCTCTTCTCTTTGAATTACCCACAGTCAGGTATTTTGTTATAGCAGCACAAACAGGCTAAGACACTTACTAACTCAAAAACTCTGGATTCAGGGCCCACCAGGCTGTGTTTTAGCAAGATCACTGCAATTCCGGTGAATGTTTGTGAAGCAGGGCTTGAAGGCGCCGCCTGGCTAACTTTCCGTCTGCTCTTATCCCGTACTGCCACCTATTGGGCAACCTCGTTCACATGCTACCAGATAGATGAAACCTATTCAAAACAAAGGGAAGCTAATTTCCTTGTGTTTTTCTCTTCTAAAAAACTTTACAAACCAAACCAAAAAGAAAGTTATGAGTTTTTCAACGCAAATATTTTACACTGTTGTAAGCAGTATAATTGGAACTTTTTAAATGTGTGTGTGTGTGTGTGTGTGTGTGTGTGTGTGTATCAGAAGACAACTTGCTGGAATCTGTTTTCTCCTGACACGACATGGGTCATAGGAATCACACTCAGGTATATCAGGCAGATGAAGCAGACAATGCCAATATTTGAAAGTAATAACATCTCAGAAAATCTTACAAGTTCGTTATCATATCCCAAGTTAGTCATTTCTTGTTTTAGATGTTTAAGCTATTTCCAGTTTTCAGTAGTCACAACTAATAGCACAGTGAATATTTCTGTATGATAAGCTTGGGTAGTCATGTACAGTCACCAAAGGTAGATGCTGATGTGGAAGTCAGGAAGTGCATGCCGATAAGGGCTTGATATAGCTGTCTCCTTAGAGGTCTGCAAGAGTCTGACATATTCAGAGGCAGATGCTCACAACTAGCCATTGAACTGATCATGGGGTTCTCAATAGAGGAGTTAGAGTGAAGACTGAAGGAGAGCTGAAAGGATTTGTGGCACCATGAGGAGAGCAACAATACCAACCAACCACAGCTCCCAGGGTCTAAACCACCAGCCTGGGAGCACTTAGGGAGGGATCCAGGGCTTCAGCTGAATATGTAAGAGTGGAGGGTCCTGCTGGGCATAGGTGGAAGAAGAGATCCTTGGTCTCATGAAGGCTG